TTGTTAGTTTGCTTGGACAACAAAAAAATCACATCACAGGCTACACAGGCCATGACTTTCCTTTCCTTCATTTACTTCCCCTTCCCTCCTTTCTTCCTTTTCCTTCCTTCCTTCCTTCCTTCCTTCCTTCCTTCCTTCCTTCCTTCCTTCCTTCCTCTTTCTCTTTCTCTTTCTCTCTTTCTTCCTTTTCTTTTTTCTTTTTGATGTAATTCCTCCAGAGAGGGTGTGTGGGCACTGGTGATGCCCCACTAGAAAGGACCCCACCCCTGACATCAGCAGCCCAGCAGCTGAGCCATAGTGGGGGTTCTGGGCTGTTCCAGGAAACCTTATCTCTGGAACAGTACTTCATCTAGTAGATAGTATGTCTTTTTAAAAATACATATTACATTTCTTTATTTTGTATTTTTTCCATCTTTGGGCAGGTGTGTGAGGATACATACGTGTCACAGATTGCATGGAGTCAAGGGACAGCATTCAGGAATCGCTGCTTTCCTTCCTCTGTGTGCGGCGTAGGCAGCCAGGATTGGTGGCAGGCACCTTCACAGAGCCATTTCAACAGGTTTTTCTTTTGCTTTTGAGATAAGATTTTACTGTGTATCCTTGGTTAGCCTTGGACTCTCTATGTGGACCAGGCTGGCCTGGAACCCCCAGAGAGCCACCTGCCTCTGCCTCCTGGGTGCTGGGATCACTGGTGTGCACCAACAAACCCAGCCTTTACATTTAATTACGTAATTGCATCTTCCTCTGTGTGTGGATATGTGTACAAACGCATGTGCCCTTGGAGGCCAGAGGAAAGTGTCCGGTCCCCTTGAACCGGAGTTGCAGGTGCTTGTGAGCCACCTGGTGTGGGTGCTGGGAACCGAACTCAGAGCAGTGCAGGCTCTCAATCTCTGAGCCATTTCTCCAGCTCAGTAGGCAGTATTTCTAATCCCGGGTTACTGCACCCTTGAGAGGAGACTGTCAGGGCAGTGCCAGACAGAGAGACACTTTGACACACACTGGATTTTGCTTCCGTGATCTGGAAACCTGTCTGCCTGTCCCCAGACCACACGGTGGGGTTCCCAGGGTCCTGTGGATGACTAATGATACCCTCTTGCTCCTCCTTCTCCTGACCTGCAGCTTCCCGGCATCCCTTCTCTACTGTGTGTGTGTGTGTGAGGGAGGGCTGTCATTGTGCACCTGAGCAGATGGGTCTGTTTTTCAGTAGTTTTCCTGCAGATCCCCAGGCCTGACAAAGAGGAACACTTTCAGCCCTTCTCCAGTCCTTCTCCGTTCCCCATGAGACCTTTGATGGCTCCCACAAATTATGAGACACACCCCAACATCTGTTCAAAGGCCAGAACTCCAAGCTGCAGAAGTTGATCTCTCAGATTTGAATCAGTAAACTCTCTGCTTGGGGCAGACCAGCAGATTTCAGCAGAACCTGGGGGCCATCTGGAAACTGCCTAGACAGGGTCAATGGCTGGCAGTGTCGAGGCAGAGGGGTGTATCCAGAATGGGAGGGGTCAGACAAAGGTGGAAGGGACCTAGGACTGCCATGGGTTCCATGATACCTGTTTCACTTTTACACATTGGAGAGAAACAAGCTCTAGGCCGTGTTCTAAGCCTGGAATGTTTATGCTGAGATCTGGGAGCCTCTCTTTGAAACGATCATAATCTGGTCTGGAGCTCACAGTCCAGGCCTCCCTTGGATGGGGGAGGTTGGAGGAATTTTCTTTGTAGTGTCATAACTCAGAAGGTGGGAGAGAGCCTGGCTTTGATGAGGAAACTGAGGCAGGGGGTAGGGAGGAGTCTGAGAACAAGAGGCCATTGCAAATAGGAACGCACTGCAATACGAGGCTATTTCAAAAAGCTGGGATAGGGCTGCAGACAGACAGAAGGAAACACCCTTGTTTCTGTCTGCCTGCCCTGAGGATACTTCAACGTAGTGGGCAGGGGTGGGAAGAGACTTGAAGGAAGTGAGGTGTCCAGGAGCGCAAAGGGAAGCTACTCAGTCCTCACCCCAGCCCTTCCCTGGCTGTTCTTCTCAATCCAGGGCACCAACAGTGCAGAAAAGGATGGATGTTGAAAGATGGAAGCCGGCGTGTGAGGAGGGACAGACTGGTGTAAATGCAGGCGCTGTGAGCCCAAGGTTAAAGAAGGGCCAGTGTGGCCTGGAGCAAGCTGGGATCTTCACCTCCCTGCAGCCACATTTGCTATCTCATCTACTATACAAGCCCCAGATTCTTTCCATCTTAGGGCTGAGCTCCCATAGGCACGATTTTCCCGTGGCCACAGCTTTTGGCATTGCCTGCACCCCTGTGACCCATGTTGGTGGCGATACAGGCGTGGGGCGTTTGCTACATTGACTAATCAGCAGCTTCCGGTTGGCAGGCTGCACCTGGTGGGCAGATAGGCAGAGGCACTAGAGGTGTATTCTGGCTCGCTGTGGGGAGCAGCCTTTTTTTTTTTTTTTTTTTTTTTCTGACAGCTAGAGAGCTTGCTGGACCTTCCAGCTCCACCAGATCCCACGTGGAGAGCCGCAGCTTGAATTAGGGGGTCTGCCCTCTTTGCGCTTTCTTCGGGGGCTTCAGAGCTCTGAGCCCAGCCCGGGAACTTTGGTCGGGACCGTGGTAACTCATATACACCCCCTCCCGAACTTGCACGTGGCAGCTCCTCCCAGCTTTGTTAATGGAAACCTACTGATCCGTGACACACTGGTGGCAGACATCTGCTCGGGGTAATGTGCCGGTAATGTACGTATCGATGATCAATCTGCAGATTTGCAAGAGCGGCATAAAGTATTTAATTATAATCACGTTGGGCAAGTCTGCGTGGTGGCAGCGACATTTGAATAGGTCACGGCCAGCCCTCACCCCTGTTATGTTACTGGTATTAAATGCCACTCACTCCTGATGTCACGGGAGATCACACGCTGGCAAACTGGAAATGCCCCCTTGCTTCTAAGAGCATGATTGATAGCCTCTGCAAAGTGATCGCCAAAGCTCCCATGCTCGGCCTCACCTGGCACTGTCCTCAGCTTGCCCGTCTGCGGGTGTGGAGACGGCACGTGGCAGCGACCTTGCGTGCAGAGCGACTGAGTCTCCCTAAGGCGCCCTGTCTTGCTCAGGGGAAGGGGCTTTCCTGTTTCCAATCACACTTCGCTAATGAGAACAAACTGTAGGAAGCAAGCAAGCATTCAAAAGATGAAACACAAGTTTTATTTGCTCGGTTGGTGTCAGAAAAAAATGTGTATCTTTGGACACTGAGCCACCTGTGATGTGTGCACCGTCTGTGTATGAGCCGTCTAAAGCAGATCCAGTGTGATTTGAATCAATGCTTTTAGCACACCGGATGGACAGATACACAAAACAAGGACACGGACAACTGAGCAGAGTACACAGGAGCAGGCAGGCACATACACTCACGCACAGAGTGCATCCTGACAGGCCAGATAAGCCAGGGCAGAGAAGGGAGCCTGCATGGAGCAAGCACAGGTCTAGGTGCCGTGTTATGCCTGGCCAGCAGGCAGGACCCACAAGCATGCTGGGTGTATTGGTAGGAGCAGCAGAGTTCTGGGAAACCTCAGGTGGCATTGCAAGGAGGGGCATCTGAACCCATTGGAAAGGGCCATGGAGGAGGACTCCCTCTCCTCTCGCTGGGCTGGGTGTGTGGGGGTGCGAAGGGGGAGGACAGCTTTTAGGCAGAGGCTGTGCTCATAGGGTCTGGAGGTCAGAGAGCGGCCATGCTCCTTAGCGGAGGAGATCGCAGCAGGGCCCCAGAGCCTCTGCCATTTCCCCAGCCAGGAAAGGCTCTACGGACCAGGCACACCAGGCTGCAATGGTAGCTAGGCCTGAGGGATCTCTGCCATGACCCCTCCTGCCTCTGCCCACCTTCCTTTTCCTGAAGCCTGTTTCTAAACTAATGCGGGACTGTACTTCTCAACTGAGACAGCCAACCTGGTGGGGAGCAGTTTCGTCATTCCAGGGCATAATCTCAGAGCTCATCAGATTACCAACCTTCAAATTAACAGCAAACAGTTAACACTGCAAAAGGGGCGGGGTGCACCGTGCCTAATTGTGTTTCTTAAACTGCCCACCTCGGTGGTGATAAAATCATTCACATTTCAAATGGAGTATATACGTCCCTCCTGTCTTAAACACTCTGCCGTGCGGCACGGTTCCTCCCGTCCCCTACGAAAGTATTACAAGGAAGCTGGTAGGGACTGAGTAGAATCAGGGTAAAGCACCCTTCCCTCTCCCCTCCCCTTCCTTTCTCCTTATTCTCTTCCCCATATAGAAATTACATGCTATTTAAATTTCTTCTTATTTTGAAGCCAGCTCTCACTTATTTTGCCCGGACGGGCCTTGAACTTATAATCCTCCTACCCCAGCCTCCTAAGTGTTGGGATGATGGGCTTGTGCCACCACGCCTGGTCTGGGAGATAAGTGTGTGCTGCAAACACAGGGTTCTTCTGGGTATGTCGCTCATAGCTTGGCATCCTGGCAAGCCTCGGGGTAAGTACTAGTCCCAGGCCAGATTAACATCTGTCTTCACTGTTTGAAACCTCATTATTCTGAGCTACAGGGAAAGCCTTAGCCGGCTTCATGACTAAGATATAGAGCACACTTTAACTCCGGAATGGGGTGTCTACAAAGCCACCTGTCTCGTGGCTGAGGACAAAATGCTACCTGATTCCGGAGAACCTCAGCGGTTTTACTGCTGGATGCAGGGGGAGTTCAGTAAGTCCACAGCAAATCTCGAAGTGGAGCCGAATCCGAGCCGAGTTTTCCTGCGAGAGAACTGTTTTTCTTTTATTCTTTATAAAGTCACGGCATCACCATAAATACCTTTTATAGGAAGGTCTCCAGCTCTCCTCCAAACGGAGGGCTGGGTCCCCGGGGCGTTCTGGGAAGAAGAATGCAGAGGTGGCCACGTCCAGGGTTCTTGATTCAAGATGCCTGGTTCAAGTCCTGCCTTCAGGGAAGGATCAGGCTCAAATCCTCGACTGACTGCGGCAGCCAATGGGGCACCTCATGCTGCCCAAAAGTGGAAGCTCATTTGCTGGGGCTCTAGCGCTGGATACCTGGCTTCCTGCGAGTGACAGGGCGACCTGAGAGCCGGGAAGGGGTCCGGGGAAGACAGGATATAGTCAATACTGAATTTGATGTCTCTGTGTGCGGCAGGGCTGGCCCGGGCCTCTCGATCTGGGCCTGGAGCGCTGTCAGGGCCCGGAGACCCACGCACTGCTGGCTCAGGGTTCCCCGGGGGCCCCTCGCGCTTGGGGCCGCGTCGCCTGCGTCGCCGACGGAAGTTGCCGTTCTCAAAAAGGTCCAGGAGGGACTCGCAGCCGCCCGCGAACGTCCAGTAGTTGCCTTTGCCCTTGTCGTGGCCCTCGGTCCGTGGCACCTGTGGGAGTGCGGGGCTCAGCCAACGTCCCCAAGCCCTCGCGCTGGACGCGCCACAGGCAAGCGTGTCTCCGCCCCCCTTGGGGACCTTCTAGTAAGGAGCTTGTCTCGGCGTCCCCCTCCCTCCCAGTCACCATGGACTGCTGGGGACACCCGGGGGTCCAGTGCGCGCGGCGGGCGGGGGAGGGGCTGACCTTGACGAAGCAGCTGTTGAGCGACAGGTTGTGGCGGATGGAGTTCTGCCAGGCGCGCTGGTTGGAGCGGTAGTAGGGGAACTTGCGCATGATGAAGTCGTAGATGCCGGACAGGGTCACGCGGCCCGCGGGGCTCTGCTGGATGGCCATGGCGATGAGCGCGATGTAGCTGCGACAGGGGTGCCAGACAGAGGGGCTGAATCAGGCGGGGCGGAGCTGAAACCGCAGAAGCTCTGGTGAACTCAGACCTGCCCTGGGACTGGCTGGAGCCCTTGAGACCAGATGGGTCCCCCGCCTGTCCCCCCACCCCTCCCCCGCCCAGGTCCACTGGAGCCCCACGAACCTGCTAGAGTTCAGCAGGCTGGTGAAGCCTCTACCGAGCCTCGGGGAGCCCTCCAAGATCCTCCGGAGTCCCCCGAACCCTCTGAAGCACCCTGCCCCTTTGAAACGCTCTTTACCGGCTGAAAGCCCCCACCCCACCCCAAGACCTGCTGGGGATCCTCTGAATCCCGAAACCCTCTGAACCCTGATGCTCCCTGGAGTCTCCAGCACCTTCTAGACTTTGTGGGGGCCCTCTAAAGTCGCCTGGGGCCTGTTGGATCCCTCTCAGCCACCCAGGACTCCCGGGGCATGTTGGGATGCAGAAGTTGTGGTTCAGTAATCTCCCTGCTCGCTACCCAGCCTCTGTTAGCCTGCTCAACCCGTGGAGGACCCCCACCCCGAGTGCGCTGGAACGTGTCTTTCCTCAGAGACCTGCAGAAGGGAGGGATCCCACCTCTCCCTAGCCCGAGACCCTGGTGAGCCAGCCCTCTACCGCTCCTGTCACCCGTCCCCGGGTCACCTGTACGCCGGCCTTGTGAGTCGCTTTTCCTCGTCCGAGCTGCCGGCAGGGTAGTCGTCTGCGTCGTCATTGAAGCAGTTATAGGGGTACTGTGAACTGTCAAACATCGTGGCTGCCCTGTGCTGTCCTGAGCTGCGCCGCCACCGCCGCCTCCTCCTCCGCGCTGGCCACCGGCCGCCGAGCCCAGCACTGACTTCCCTCGGCTGGGCCAACAGCGTCTGCTTGCAGGGTGCGGGGAGCCTGGCTTCTGGGGTCCCCGCCTGCTCCGCCTGGTTCTCTGGCGTCCAATCCCAGTGCGGGGGTTGTCCCCAGCCACCACAGAGTGGGAGCGCAGCGGAGGAGCTTCGCCACCTTCTGACCCGCTGGCAAGGGAGGCCAAGGGGTGGTCTGGCCCCACAGGCAGGGCGACCCCTGTCTGTCTCCCCTGAGGCCACCACTGAGTGTATTGCAGGGTCCACGGAGTCTCAGATTCTAGGTTCACGGCTGCAGCTAGAGGTGATGGGGGCCAGCCCTAGAGAGCTGAGCTGCCATCCCCTCTCCCATAGGACACAGGCTGCTTGCTTTCAAGCCCAGAGCCCAGAGCCTGGTCCAGGCAGGTGGGGGCTGCTGCCCGGTCCTGGCTCCCTGTTTTCCCGTTGCACCCGTTGCAGGTGGATGCCAACAGGAGACTCGTGGCCCAGGGTTTCTTCCAGTATCCCGAGTCCTCCCACAGTGCATCCCTGCCTGGAAATAGCCTTCCATGGATGCTCTGGGTATCTGGGATGACAGAGATTTTTTTCTTCCGAGCTCCCTGCTGGCTGTCTGGCCCTGGGAGAGGTAAAATGACTGTACAGGAAACAGACATCTGAGGTAGAGACTGGGAACCTGAGGCAAGATGGGATGTCTTGGGGACCCCTGGCATCCCAGGGACTTCTTTCCAATAATCTACAGAAGTCAGACCAGGTGAGATATCTGTGAACCCAGAGAGATGAGAGGCCAGGACTAGCCTTGGGGAAATTTCCTCTTCAAGGCAGTACCTTCCCTTCGTTGCTGGGGCCTCGTGATACCTCTCCTGTGGTAACCGATGGCGATGACACTGAGGTCCTCTGTGGAGAAGCCTGCGTAAGCTGGTCCTGCTGCTTTGGGTCATGGTGGCATGGCTACTGCCCCAGCCCAAGCTGCAAGAGGGGTCAGGAATCGGGGGAAAGGAAGTGCAGGGCCCCTCTGTGGAACAGTTTGGCAACTGGTTTAAAAATTAAACATGTGGTCAGTATAGGCCTGACTATAACCCTGGCATCCAGGGGGCTGAGGCAGGGAGGTCATGCAGTTCAGGTCAGCCTGCACTGTGGTGCGAGATTCTCAAACAGACAGACAAGACATAAACACATGTGTACCATACCATTCATGTAGTCCATCATCCACCTTTACATGCAGTCTGCAGAAACCCGAAATCAGCCCCAGAAGCTCAGAGAAAATTTCCTGGAAACACCTGACTGGAAACACACCTTTCAACAGGCAAGTGGCTGTGTGAACTAGGTAGCGTCGATGCTGTGGCGTAGTGCTCAGGCAGTAAAAATGGAGGGACCCTTGGTACATGCAGTGGCCAGGTTGGCTGGTCTCCGGAGTTTACCCACTTTTATAGTCTGGCTCACGTAACACACGTGAAAGACCAGGGCAGTGCAGCGTGGCCTTATGACTCTGCTTAGCGGTGACCCGGGCTCCTTCCCATGGTCCCAGGGCAACTCGGAACAGAAGAAGAAAGCCAGACCACTTTCCAGAGGGCGGAGTGTAAGGATACAACGTGAGGGGGGCGGATGGGCTGGATGGTGCCACGCAGCTGTCTTTGTGTTGTGAGGAGAGCAGGTGGGTAAGAGCGACTATGCAGCCATGTTCATAAAAGCAAAACACCGTCGCAGAGGCCTGAAGGGGTGACAGGAAGGGAAACAGGGAACCAAGCAAGAGAGGAGAATCTTACATGTGACCTGAGCCTACAGACTCCAACTGCAGACACACACAGAGGAGTCTCAGCGGCATCAGAGAAGAGTGCTGATTTGCTGGCAGACATACAACTTGCCCTTATGCTCTTCCACCCGGTTACTGCCACTTGTTTCATATCATCTCTTGGGAAACTCCAACATGTTTAATTTTTTTAAACTGGGGGATGGTAGCACACACCTTTAATTCCAGCACTGGGGAGGCAGGTGTAGATGGATCTCTATGAGTTTGAAGGCAGGCTGGTGTACAAAGTGAGTTCCAGGACAGCTAAGGCTACACAGAGAAACCCTGTCTTGAAAACAGCAACAATATTTAGATGATTTGTTTATTTTATGTGCATTAGTGTTTTGCCTGCATGTATGTAACGGTATTGGGTCCTTTGGAGCTGAGTTAGACAGTTGTGAGCTGCCATGTGTGTGCTGGGAATTGAACCTGAATCCTCTGGAAGAACAGCCAGTGTTCTTGACCACTGAGCCCTCTCCAGCCCCCTAACATGTTGGTTTTGACAAAGCCTGTCTAGCTTATTTTTCCTTGCTTTGCCAGAGCTTTTGTTGTCACTGTCTCCAAAGCCATGGTTTCCTGCAGAATCTTCTGCTAAGAACTATACTTACTCAGCTGTAAACGGGGTGGTATCTGGCCTGTGTCACAATGTGGGGGATCCTGAGGATGGAAGGGGAGAGAAATAAATGTGACACAAAAGTCTCAGTTGCCCGAACTGGGCAAATATGGTAAGCAACCACTTTGAAAATCACTCTGGCACTTTCTCAGACAATTAGCAATATTGCTACCTCAGGATGCAGCTATACCACTCCTGGCATATATCCAAAAGATGCTCAAGTACACAACAAGGATGTTTGCTCAACTGTGTTCGTAACAGCTTTATTCATAATAGCCAGAATCTGGAACCAACCAAGATGTCCCTCAATGGACGAATGGATACAGAAATTGTGGCACATTTACACAATGGAATACTACTCAGCAATTAAAAATAAGGAAATCATGAAGTTTGCAGGCAAATGGTGGGAACTAGAAAAGATCATCCTGAGTAAGGTATCCTAGAAGCAGAAAGACACACAGGGTATATACACACTTATAAGTGGATATTAGACATATAATATAGGACAGTCATACTAAAGTCTGTACACCTAAAGAGGCTAAGCAAGAAGGAGGACCCTGGGTAAGATGCTCAATCCTCATTCAGAAAGGCAAATGGGATAGACAATGGAAGAGGGAGAAAACAGGGAACAGGACAGGAGCCTACCACAGAAGGCCTCTGAATGACTCTACTCAGCAGGGTATCAAAGCAAATTCTGAGACTCATAGCCAAACTTTGTGTAGAATGCAGGGACTCTTATGAAAGTAGGTGGAGATAAAAACACCTGAAGGGGACAGGAGCTCCACAAGGAGAGCAACAGAACCAAAAAAAAAAAAAAAAAATCTGTGCACAGGTGTCTTTTCTGAGACTGACACTCTAACCAAGGACCATGCCTGGAGATAACCTAGAAGCCCTGCACAGATATAGCCCATGACAGCTCAGTCTCCAAGTGGGTTTCCTAGTAAGGGGAACAGGGACTGTCTCTGACATGAACTCAGTGGCTGGCTCTTTGATCACCCCCCTCCCCCAAGTGGGGAACAGCCTTGCCAGGCCACAGAAGACTATGCAGCCAGTCCTGATGAGACCTAATAGGCTGGGGTCAGATGGAAGGGGAGGAGGACCTCCACTATCAGTGGACTGGGGAAGGGGCATGGGAGGAGAAGAGGGAGGGCAAGATTGGAAGGGAATGAGAGAGGGGATGGGAGAGTGGGCCACAGCTGGAGTACAAAGTGAATAAATTGTAATAACTTTAAAAATAAATTTAAAAACGTATGACTTAAAAAAGAGAAAGGGGGTTGTGGGGCACTGGGGGTAAGGGGTGTTGTCGTTTAGCAGACCTTGTGGGATGGTGGTGTCGATGGGACTCAGCACTGTGAATATATGAATGCTGTTGAGCTGCACACAGGTAAGCCTAGCACTCAGGAGGCAGTTCAAGGTCACCTCACCTACACAGTGAAATGGAGAACAGACCTTGTCTCATAAAACAAACAAACACTGCCAAAAAGTGGGTGGAGAGATTGCTGAGTGGTTAAGAGCACTGGCTGCTCTTGCGGAAGACCTGGGTTCCATTCCTGTCCCCAAATGGCAGCTATCTGTATATCTGGTCCCAGGGGATCTGGCCCCCTCTTCTGGCATCCCTGGGTATTGCACACATGTGGTACACAGACATGCATGCAGGTGAACACACATAGAATAAATAAAATAAAACAAAACTGCTTACAGGTGAGAGTGTTGAGGATGTTTAAATTAAAATATACCTGCTTAAAGCAGAGGGGAGATTAGCAAGATTAGCACAAGTCAGAGACTGTGTGTGTTTAGGGGATGGTTGGGCACAAGTGCAGAGGCCAGAGGAGGACATGGATGTCCTGCTCTATTATTATCATCCATCTTTATTCCCTTGAGACAGGGTCTCTTCCTGAATCTGGAGTCCAAACACACACACACACACACACACACACACACACACACACACACACACTCAGCCATACCTGGACTTTTTACATGAGTTCTGGGGATCCAAACTCAGGTCTTCATGGTTGTACAGCAGGGGCTCTTACCTGTTGAGATATTTCCCCTGCCCTGTTTTAATTAATTAATTAGCTAATTAATTGTCATAGGGTCTTACAGTGCAGTCCAGGCTGGCCTGAAACTTGAGCTCCTCCTGCCCAAGCTTTTGGACCACAGGGCTGTGGTTCTTCCATTCCGGGGTTCCTATGTGGTACCGGAAGTGTGGGGACAGACTGGGCAGCCCCTTCCTGCTTGTGTTCTACTGGAGGGTCTGGGGAAGGGACCTGTATGGATGGGGGCAGTGAGAGGCGGTACAGAGTCTGTGCACATTGGAAGTTGGAACTGTGAGGCTGTAGCTTAAAGAGAGTCAAAGGAGACCCGTGAGTGGGAGTGAACAGCTCAAGGATGTGGATACTGTCACCACGGGAAGGAGGGAGCAATGCATGGGGGAAGCCTAACACTGGGTCTCACAGACAAAGCCACATCTGGACCCTCCCCCGGCTTCTAGATGGCTTAGGCAGGCCACTCCAC